CCCGTCTCGCAAAATGTCTGCAGATGAACAGTCTGGAAACAGAAACGTTTGCATTATATTTTTGTTTATCCCGAATTAAAGACTTGCGTCTTGTTAATTCTGCGCAATGTTTGAACATTTTATGCTTCTGTTTGAAGTACATGCTTTGGGACTTGCGTCTTGTTAATTCTGCCCAATGTTTGAACATTCTATGCTTCTGTTTGAAGTACATGCTTTGAAAATCAAAAATCTAAGAGCCATCCGCCCCCCTCCTTCAAATCAAGTCATCCAATAAAAATTCTGAAGCATCTAAATTTTAAATAGACTTAACCCTCTTAGGCAGTTCATTATTTCGTAACTCTTTATGCATTTCTGTAATCACGGCCCTTGGGGTATTCAGATATAACTAACAATACAGTACTTTACTGTTATCATTTCTCATACGTACAATAAGAAAATTGAAAGTACTGTAATCACAGTATTATGTGTACATAAAAATATGTATATACATACATATATAAACATCTACACTTTGACAGAAATTCGAGTTTTGGTGTCCCTGGTAAAGGCCTACGTATTTACGGTCTTAATATACTAAACGTGCACACAACTAGGTATTAGGTCAGAGTGGAGCTAACTTTAGAGTGTAGTAATACGTTCAGAATATTATTCAGAATTTAGAGTACTTGCCCACTTAATTACTACAAAATACAAAGACCACTTTTAAAATCGCTGCAGATACCTGACAGGTATCTACCAATATCAAACTACAGCTGTTTGTAACACCATGGCGGGCGTTCACGATTCGGCTGCTTAAGGACTCAGCACAGGCTTGTTCTGTATTTATAAGTCGTCAGTAAGAAAATAAAACTGATGACTTCATACCGAAAGAGGCGATACAGTATTTATGTATGTTCGGTAAGTTCCGGTTTCGAATCTCGGCCCAAACTCATTATCTCCCAATAAGATTTCAGTATTTTTTCAGTTCCTACATAATATCGTGTTTTGTATCTTAAAATAGGGAACGCTGTAAAGGAAGTTTCTGGTTCAATCACGTCCGCGTTCGCACATACTGAATCAGTTAAGGGCAGAGTTTATAGTAAAACAAGCTACTTACTGTATGAAGATGGCTGTCTTCTGGGTACTTACTGTATGAAGATGGCTGCCTTCTGGGTTGTTGCACCTTGGTCGGACCAAGGTTCTACCTTGTCCATCTGGTTCCCGTATCTTAAATCAATTCCTCGCGCGCGGCTTATTTATCGCCCAGGTGATGGAGGTAGCAAGCGGCTCTGAAAAGGTGGTAAGCATCTACCAGACTACAAGACGCAACAATCCAGAAGATAGCAATCGCCATGATCTCCGCCGTAGGCTACTTTGTTAGAAGATTCCCAGGGCTCAGCGCATAAAAATATTTCTATTCTTGTTTTGTATTTTCTTAGTGATGATACAGTATCAGACATATTCGATGAAATCTCATTTCATACCTTACTTCATGGGACAAAACGATTTGTACTAATAGCGTCTGATAATAAATCTCGATAGTCGAAATGTGTTGTGTCAACTTCATTTGTTACAGGCTGTTAGAAACCGCAGTAGGTATTTGAGATTTCCTTCCTCTCGCGAAATAAAGTGCCTCTCATTTCTCATGCTTCGAGGGGTTAATAGTCATTCACACCTTCAAAACATCAACCGAAGTATAAATTGTTGCTTCCGAATTGATGAATAACAATATATTTTTGTATTGGTATGAATAATTTTACATATTTTAAATGTTTTGAATACCTACATAAGTTTTCGTTCTAGGCTGTCCGGACAGTCAGAAAAAGTACTTTCCCACCAACAAGACCAGTGGTGCACTTTATGAATTTCACGGCGATCTTAATAACTATAAATTGTGTACCTACGCACCATGGAGTTTGGTAAGAAGCTAGAAGTATAAGTAGTCGTATATACAGCAACATTGTAGTACAAAGTGTGTTAAATCACAAATTGGCGTGTGTTGCTAATTGTCCGTCACGATGCTTGGTAATATATCAAAGTGTCATGGCGGGCGGCGGTATCCAGAATCCTGAGATTTCTAAGTTCTGCGTGCCGGTCACTCAAAGGACCATAATGGTCGATTTGCGTGCGGACTTTAATATTTTCTCTCCTTCAATTTGTGGCAATCACTTAACGACCACGTTATTAGCCACTTTAAGATAATGTCCTAATACATTTAAAGAGAACAAATGTTAAGACTCGGAGCTTTCGTCGTTACGGTCTGTCTTACAACGTCTCGTGGAAGATGAATGATGACTAGCAAAAAGCTGATAGCTTCTTCCTTAGCCGTCTTCTTATAGAGTTGGATCCTTTAATGCATTTCGAACCTATCAGGTTACTACATTGGTATAGTCATTTTATCATTTTGCAAGCTAACGTACACGAAACCACGGAAGACATAGAAGAAGACTTTTGTTCGATTATATCAGAGTCAAAGTCACGTGCTCACCATTACATAAATTGTGCTAATATAAAGACATTTCCGAAGTGTTCAGATAAATGATATTTACGGCCTATATGTCAAAGTTCATGCACTTAAGAGTTATTCAGAACATCCTAATAAATTAACTGTAAACATGTTTTGTGGTTCTGAATAACATTGTAGATATAGGAAGAAATACGGTTAAGTCTATATTCCTAATACGTTACTATTTATGGGTAATATACGAGGCGCGTCCACAAAGTAAGTTTCCCACTCGTCCCACAGCTAGCAAACCTTATATTGCGCGAAGCGACTGTGCGTACGTGATAGAGCAATGACGTAGCATGGCCCATGCACTAACGGTACTTCCCGCGTTCTCACAGTAGCATCGTTGCAGCTGTTGAAGATGGAGGTTCTTATTCCAGCTCCCGCCGACTGTGAAGTGCGGTCAGTGATAACGCTAGGCCGCACACGGCTCGACGGACAGCAAGTCTCCTGCAGAAGTTCAGCTGGGAGGTGTTTAATCATTCACCCTACAGCCCGGACCTCGCTCCCAGTGATTTCCATCTTTTCCTACACCTCAAGAAATTCCTGTCCGGTCAGCGTCAGCGTCAGCGTTTTGAGAATGAAAGAGAGGCGGAGATGGTTGTCACACAGGATACAGGAAGGAATACGGTTAAGTCTATATTCCTAATACGTTACTATTTATGGGTAATATACAATAAAAGCATCTGTTAATATTTTACATTTGAAAGAGCTGGTCGGTAGTTGTCTATGTCAGTGGTTGTCAACCTATCTTGATTCACGACCCGGTAAGTCAGCAGAGTATTTTTACAGCTCCGACGCCGTATCTCACTTTATGTAGTTCAAATACATGTACATAATTGATACCTTAATGTCTAAACTAAATCGTAGAAATGTCACATAAGAATCCGCAGTGAGCATTAGCATTTCAGGGATCTGAGGTTTTCAGCAATTATCCAGCTCCCAGTTTCCGTTGGTTGCAGCAAACGATGGATTAAAAACTCTACGTCCTCTTACTCAGCATTTAGCCCGCCACATCATTAGACATAGCAAAATGAAAGAAGAAAGCATGTAGAAGGCTGCTATAACAGTTTAGTCAACTTGACACTTCTAAATACCTTCCTGCTAATTATTCATTATAATTTAATCGTTCTTTGCACGAAATATGTTTGTGCTCAGTAAGATGGGTTTAAGTAAACAGAATTACTTTTGGCTGAAGACCTTGCCGACCACGAAAGCTGCAACCTATGAAGCTCTAAACAGAGTCGTTAAAGAACATAATAACCAATCGATCTTCGTCATTCTTATATCAAATAATTCATTCAACTTTCAGTCATTAGATGTCGTATAATCTGTGAATTTAAAAATTAAACATTTTCATCTGATTTCACAAAATTCTCAGAGAAATGCTACACATAAAACAATAAACAGAACTCAGTAGAGATGGAATATGTTCACAAAGAAGAAAGAATATTGTAAATCTGGGTAAACTCAGGATTTCAGATAAACACATACTTTCAGGAATGGGCTACTTTACGTAATTCAGAAACCTTATGGTTGGATTCACAAGTCTGAATTAAATTACTGATATTTATTGTAGTTATCCATATTAATTTCTACTCAGACTTGTCATATTGCGACTACAGTCTTATTATTTCTTGAAGACTCCGAGATCTGACTTTCGCAGAAAACCTGGACCAGTCCATTCTCTTAGATGTGTCTCTCAGAAATTGTGGATCAATTTGTTTATAGCCGTTTAGGGTATTACTAAGAGTGAGAAAGTGATAGTGGAACGACGGTTCCGGAGAATTTGACGTAAATACGTCTATACGGAAAGGAAGTTTATATATTGGCTTCATTCTAAATATTTCCTTTATGCATGCTTTACAATTGAGATAAGTTTGATTAAAACATTGATTATTCAACTTCAATTAGTTACGCTTGAAATGGGTCTGTGGTAGCTGAATGTAATATAAAGTAATATAATATAAGGTAAGGTAAGGTAACGTAAGGTAATGTAATGTAAGGTAAAGTAATGTAATGTAACGTTTCCTAGGTAACAACAATACTAAGTAAACAGATGAGGTTTCCTAGGTAACATAACAATGAAGTTACACTTTTTCGATTCCCTTTTCCGTTTCCCTTTTTCGTTTCCCTTTTTCGTAACACATTTTTGCCGAATGGCCCTTCCTTATAAACGTATTTACGTAAAAAAATGTAGCGTCGTAATGCTAGCGAATATAAAAACATTATTTTTATGCAATCTATTCCAATTAAACTGAAATGTAAAACTCTGTCCATCCCAACAAGTGAAAGGCGTAATCAGTCACAAATCTAATTTAAATTAACCTGCGATACTATATCCATAAATTCCATAATAACTAACGGTTAATATTTCGCAGCCGGTCTGTTGTTAAATTGTCAGTCCTTGGTTCCATAAACGATATATGGAATCACGGTCTTGATTCCCCCACTCCTTCTATTTCTCCTCCCGCTATGCGCAGACTTGAGGCCATGTCGGAACTGTACACTGTTCTGCAGTTGGTTCAACTTGTTAGTGAGCGGCTTGCAATGGTCAACTCCATTGATCCCGTGTAAAGGTGTGGGGTCTAGTAATTAGTTTACTTACTCCAGCACTACAGCTGACTGACCACCTCGACCGTAAGTCAGGTAAGGCAAAGGGTATGATGAATTGCTTTAACACTCCGACCAAACGACAAAGTTGTTTGCAACTACAGAACGCATTGATAGGGCCCATGAATTCGAGATTCATGAGATGATACACTTTTAGTTTCTTTAACGACGCTTTCTCGAATGAGTGAACGTATTTGGAATTGATGGTGGTTTATTAGTTGCAATGGCACAATTTGTTTTAAATAACAGTTATCAAGGTCTACAGCTCCTCTGAGCAGTGATTATCAACGAAGAAACTTGCTGACGTCACCGCCCGTGTTGTGGCATGAAACACCTTTGGAATTTCAGTGTTATCGAGACAGTACACATTTCAATATTGTTTATTTACTTTATTTATATCTGAACGGTTATAATCCGGGTTGGTAACTTCCTTTTAACAATTTTCTCCCAAGTACCCGAAATATCCCTGTTCTTGTTGCCTTTGAATAATCTGAAAATACTGTCACTGAATTCGACTGGAAACACTAAGTAAAATCGTTAGAATTTATGTCAATTAATCCGTTGTTCAGCCGAAAGTTAATGCAACTCGGAGTATTCCACGTTATCGCTACAGCAACGTGCTCCGGACCATAAAAACTGTAATTACAATTAGAAACCAGCAGAAAAATTGCATATGTCCGACTCCATTGTCTGAAAAATCTATTATCCCGTGAACAGACCTATAGAGTGACAACGAGTGTTAAAATTATCTCTAATGAATGCTGTTCTATAACGGGGAAACAAATTAAATTCAACAGTTTACCAAAAAGAGTCGACTGCAGTGTGTATCGCCTTTTTTTTCACAGCATTTTATTTCGCACTTATCTCCCTCTAACTTACAGAAGGAATATTTGTGTCACAAATTTGAAAGAATTAAGTCCGACCTGCGACAAAGTATGTGCAGAATGCTATGATTACATGAACGATAAATAAAAATTGGAAACAATTTATACCGCCTACCAACAGTGCAGATTTTAGAACATTGTCGAACTTTTTATGACTTGAAAAGCACAGAGCACGGGGAAAGTATTATGTAAGGGCTTGCCACAACACAGGTTCTTTCTCACCGAGGAGGCCTGGGTCCGCGTGGGAGTTGTGATGAATGATTTAGCACTTGGACAGTTGTCTTCCGAGCACTACCCTACCAGCGTCATTCCACCTTCAAAAATACATGATCTCACCCCATCGCAACAATTAAAAGATAAGCTGTGTAACATTAATAATCTTCAATATGTATCTCCGTTGCGAAAACAGTTTGGGTTTCTTGCGAATCCAGTTCAGACAGGTTTCGCTGTGGATTGTTTGGCTGAAACATAGGTCATGACTCACCCACCGCCATCGCCCACTGATTTGAGAAGGGTGTGGCTCGCAAGAGATCAGTTGATCAAACGTTTTGCTAGAGAAGGTAACTAACAGGTCTTCATCGCTGCTGATGAAGCAAATGAAGGGTCTTGGCAAGTTTATCGGCCATAAAATGATTTGTAAAAATCGCCTTTTCAAATAGCGGGTTATCCATGATTATGTACAAAATAAAATTTTAATTTTTAAACGGGTCCCTTAATTTTATTAATTATTCAACAAATATGTTGATATAATTTTTTATTGATAGTCTGTGTGAACCTGCGTCATATAGTTTCAGTGAACTGACGTCATTTATAACTCGGTGGTCCGCGAGTTGATAATAAAGAGTGAACGTGTCCCCACGTTTTAAATTGTTGAGTATCTCTGCTTTAGAAGATAATGCCAAAAATGCCTAGTTCTGAACTCAGTTTGTTGATGAGTTTTCCGCAACCCGTGTATCTGCTGCAATATTGTGTCATTTTGTGTAAATAAAATGTTATCTGGCAACATGAAAAGCGTTCCCTCAATGTCGTTAATATTTAGCGCTACCTAACGCAATGAGCAACTGTTCAACTTCAAAATTAAGAATGTCAAAAACCAGGACCCGTCTTTATGATAAACAAATTGAAGGATGCATGCAAATCACAACAGCAGAACTACACCAAATTCTCTTCGATAACACAAGCAGTTACAGTTTCCAGTATCTCACTATGCTTATTACTGAGTAATTTTTGGACCTGTCTGCAATAGTAGGGCTAGTTTGGTAGCGTTTCGAATAAAATTCTACAAAGTCCAATAAATTGTCTTCATTCATAACATTGTGGTCTGGGAGTCCATAGGTAAGGATGAATGTGGCCTATGTTTTGAAGGGGCTGAGAATTGTTATAGGTTATATTTGGTTTACAAAAAACAGCAAAACTTTGCATATGCATCATTGAATTACACCGATCTCTTGATTTACAACAATGAATCGTTCGATTAAAAACTGCTCGTAAGTTGAAAATTCTTAAATCGTAAAATGAAATTTGTATTAATTTCAATGTAAAAAAATTCTGAATGGTTTTCGACTCCAAGAGAAATCTAATAATAGTTTTCCCACACATGATAGAATACTGTAGAATCATAAAAATAAGAACAGTATTACTTTTTATTGTAGGTATTACCTATTTAACTACGTAAAGGCCTCGGAGGAAGATTGGTTTTTCGTTGTACCGAAAATAATGTTAGTACATTAAAAATAATTATAAATTTACATGATTAGTTGCAGCAAAAGTTCGTAACTCAGAAATACATGAATCTAGAGACAAATGTGCTGTACTTTGTGGTGGTTATGCGATAAGTTATCAATGAGGTAGGAAGCTGATAACAAAAAATTTGGTTAACGTTTATGTTAAAGCAAAAGTCTTGTTTCTACAGTGATTTTTTCCCTACTTGAATGACTAGATTGGATAAAGATTTAACGCTTCTGATTCGTGTTTGATGGGTACCCTAATATAGACTTTACTGATGCGCCAAAACTCCAAAATAAGGGGGGTTGTGGTTTTCCTCAGTCATAGATGCAAATATATTGCAGATACATACGCTTATCTCAAATATGATCACGCTACAGAGGGTACTAAATTATTTCTTCATTTTATTCTAAAATTTTTCGTCTTATTATAATCTTTACAATAAAAGTTATAGTTCGTGATGACATTACACTGTCTCTCGTATAAAACTTGCTGCTCGATGAGCCCTTTAAAAGAAAGTTGTGAAGTTTCAATTTCAGCTTTATTTATTATAAGGATCATGTTGAAGATGTTAAACTCATTCTTCCCAAATACCAAATTATTTAAAATCGTTTAGTAATTTTGAAAATAAAACAAATTAAGTATTTTGGGTGATGAACCATGCGGACGGTTAGTTTGTGCATTTCTATGCAAATATCTTATGAACATGAGTTTCATAATCCATAGCTCACAGGTCAACACATTGAAGGCCACTAATTTACTGTCCGGCTTGCAATTTTATTGTATCTTCCAGGTTTTATAATTTGTACCTTATCTGCTCAAAATACAATTTAACTTTAGGTTTCCGCAAAGTACTGGAAAGATTCAAGTGAGGATTAGTAAGGAAGAGGGTCAAAGTGTATAGGCCTCTTAAAGTTCAAGAACCGATAACTAATTTTCGTAAGACCTCATAATCAGATTTTTTGTTAGGAGAATAACATTTAGATAGGGACAAATTGTGAGGATGTGATGAAGACGTATGTGGCTCAGGATTATGTGCACTGACAGGCTTTGATTTTATCGGTGCTAAAGCCTTAGCAATCAAAGGCTCTCGGAGCTCCTGCCGAGGGTACGTACCAGAGGAATAAATATCTTCTTGCTCTGACAATTCAAAGAGTAGCCCCTGCAACTCCGACATCAGCCATCAAGGAATGAGTTGAATAAACTGACATTGCCGAAATACTGATGTCACATGAATCACCACAGAGTGAGCCACGTGCATTGTGTTATTTAATCCATTTAGATTGTTCGCAGAATATTACATGTGTGGGTCGTGTCTCGATAAACAAATTTCTCCCCTCTCAGATGTACTGCAATAATACATGTGCTGTGTTACAGTGCAGATGGTTGTCACACCCTCTATTGTTGGAGATAACATCGCTGCAATTTTAAAGCGACAATGCGTCGAGTGTAGCGGAGCTGGACAATGAAACGGCCTCGAAATAATCATCATTGTAATCCCGAGAGACTAAATAAATAGCGGTGTCCACCCAGAAATGACCAGCCTCTGGCAATGTGCAGATTATAACGCTCTCCAGGTATGACGTCACAACAAATGTATACGCTCGGCATAGTATTCTTAAACAATAGCTGTGAGAGATTCCATTAGTCCTACGCTTCTATTTTAATTGATGTCAGCTTAACACTTATGAGCAAACAGGGTATTCACATGTCAGGATGTCTGATATTCTGCCGGTACTCGATAAATATGATTCGATGGGATGATTACATAGGCTATTACTTTTATGTTTGTGGAGGTATAGGCCGTGTATCTGTTCTTGTGAAATGTTGGGATTCGACGGGGTTTGCTAGAACCAGGGGGCTATCACTGTATTTGTATGTCATGCTGCATGCAAAATTACATAGTTTTCAACTCCAACACAATGTACGGGGAAAATCTCCAGCAATTTTCAGTCTACCTGTATTATGTAGTAAAAGTACACGGCTTTCACCCTGTTTACTGACTTGTTGAATCAAAGCAAAATAGGCGTCAGATGTCAGTTTGTAAAATGTAATTCTACTTTAAAAATTTTCTCACGTAACAACATATATGAAAATTGTCTCAGATGACGACTATCTCAGCAAATATCTGAAAACTGTTTAGGATTTGAAGTTTTTAAGGCGGTGAATTTGAAGATGGCTGTCTTTTTGGTTGTTGCGCCGTGAAGTCTGATATCCCTGATGATGGAGGCAGCAAGGACCTCTGAAACGTCGGTAAACTTCCACCAGACTACACGGCGCAAGAACCCAGAAGACAGTCATCTTCTATCTGAAGACTGTTTCACATTACCACGTATATGAGAACTGTCTGATAAGCCACACATCTTCGAACGGTCTTCAGGTCTCTGGCTCTTTGTTATTGTGTATTTAGAAAATCTCACCACACGAAGTATCACTACATAGCAACCATTATCGTCGTCGGTCTTCAAGTGTCTGCTTTTGAAAGTCGTTAGAAACTATGTGTTTACACAGTTATATTCACATAATTCCAATTTTCTTCTGTGATCGAATATTAGTATCTTGTACTAGATGACAATAGTATTACTTCTTGAAAAGCTAATAGTACGCACTGCAATTAAGAAATTCTCCCTTTTTTAAAACCTGTGCTATGTTAACAAGAATCCCCACGACTCCCTATCCTGAGCCCGATGAATCCAGTCTCCACCGTCCATCCATATTTCCCTAAGTTCCTTTTAATATTATCATCCCATCTACGCCTAGATCTTCTGAGTTGTTTCTTCCCTTCAAGATGTCAGACCAATATTGCATAGCATTTCTCATTTCTCTATGCTTGCTACACTCCACCCCTGCATTCTCCTTGCTCCGATCACCAACGTTAAGTGACTCCCTGGCCACCACGACATGGCGCGTCCTCGGATTTCGGAAGAAGGAGACGGCCTCCAGATGTGGAAGGTAACTGCGAATAAATTGAAGAAGCAGTCGTGGACAACCGACAAGGAGTGATCCTCCAGTTTGAGAGCTGCGCGTGGCTAACAATTCCCCAACGTAATGAAATGGTCGGGTGTGTGAATGTATCAGTAAAATCACTTTCCTCGCTTTCATTCGCAAAAGGATAACGTAAGCTCGAGACCACAAACTTTATTGCAGTAAAACAAAGGAGAAACAGACCGACAACGCAAAAATATGAAACAAATATATTGCACCAATTCCGTTTTTAAATATGCCATACAACCCGTGAGCAGTAGCCTGGAGATATTTGAGCTAGAAGACACAAGGACATGGTAAAGTTCTTAAAGTGTTTTCATTGTTGACTCCTGCAGTCTTGTAACCTACTAGGTTGCCATGGAGAATCTATCCTGTGCCGCGGCATCGCGTGAGAGGGTGTCCGTTCGTGTGGACTCCTCTTCATTCTAATGCACGCAACGTGTCCTGCAGCTTGTACTGCATAATATGCATATTGTAATGGTAATTATGCAAAACATTAAGCTATTGTGGCGAAAATTCATTAAACTCTCCCCCTATACATCAAATCAACAATCCCTGTGACGTACTATGTGCTATAAGGTGTTCCAAAATATATTACATATTCATATTATAGTAGAAAATGCTGCAGTAATTATAACAAGGAGATTAAATCCATTTTCACCTTATTATCCTGTGTCAGAGCAAATCTATTTGTAAAAAAATAACAGACAGAATTTTACATACGTGATGTATAGTTAATTTAAGCGGTTCATCATTACAGTGCCATCGAATGTGATTACAGTTTCCTACTTTTTTATCTCGTCTTTCTGTATTTTTACTTTTTAAGTGATTTCCTTCTAGCTTTCTCTCTGTCTCCCGTATTTTTGCAAATATGAAGAAAACAACTTAATATCATTGTATGATAACATTATACAGGCATACCTCGGAGATATTGCGGGTTCGGTTCCAGACCGCCGCAATAAAGCGAGCCACACGAATGTTTTGGTTTCCCAGTGCATATAAAAGTTATGTTTACACTATACTATTACACTAGTCTATTAAGTGTTCAATAATAGCATTATGTATAAAAACCAATACGAGAACATTGCGAGAATTACCAAAATGTGACACAGAGACACGAAGTGGGCACATGCTGTTGGGAAAATGGCGCCGATAGACTTGCTCGACGCAGGTTTGCCGCAAACCTTCAATTTGTAAAAAACGCAATATCTGCGAGGCGCAATAAAGCGAAGCGCAATAAAACGAGGTATGCCTGTACTGTATTCGTGAAACGTTTATCTCAAATATTGCTAAAAATCGTGTATAAAATGTTTTCTTTCTTTCTTTCTCTTTATCCACTTTTACCCGTAGGTGTCGAGGTTCATTTATTCATTTTCTTGATCTGTTTGGACAATGATAGGACTCCTAGGATGAGTGATCAGCCCGACGCAGGGCCTCTACCTATACAAACACAGACATACGCGGACAAACATCCATGCCTTGAGTGGGGCTCGAACCCACGGTCGCAGCGACCACGCGCACGAGGTCCATGCCTCAGACCGCGTGGCCACTGCGGCCGGCTGTATAAAATGCTAATGGCTAGTAATTAATAATATTCAGTTTTCACACTATGGAATTAAAGAGTAAAAAATTACTCTTGCACATATTAGACATCACATAAGGTAACATATATATTAGGAAACACGTTATTTCCTCTCCCAATTTCAATAGAAAATGCGTGTTTTCCTCTTTGTCTCTGGTTTATTCTTTACTGTGTTTACATTTGGATAAACTTTTAGGCGTTTCATTGTTGTCTAAATTACACGTGCCTGAAAAATGCCCAGAAAATTGGCCTATATGGATCGAAGTTGACGAAGTGAACAATATGACGCGGAAATTCGTTGTTTATATATGCCGCCAGGAATTGTTAGGATACTGAAATGTAAGAGATTCGTTTGACCTGAGTATTTGGCTAAGATGGGAAGACAATGAATGCATAACTAAAGGAATTTTAATGAGGGAATCTCTTGGAAAATATCCACTTGCAAGACCGGGATGGAGATGTGATGATAGCATTAAGATGATTCTTAAGTAGATGGTTGTGAAGATGGAAATATTTCTTTTTGTGTATTTATGATTTATTTAACAACATTGTCAATATCTCAGAATATATTAGGTACTTGTTCTATTCTATACCTTCTTATGGAGAACCAAATATATAGAGTCGAACAGAGGTCGATCACTGAATAATAAATTAGAAAAGATGTGGAAGGAAGCGGGCGTGACACAATTTAAGGTATGAAGCCAGCACTTTCTAGAAGAACTGAGGAAAATCGATACAAAGACTTAGTCGATGTAGTCGGTCTCCAGGCCAAATATGTAACTCTGGATCTCCTAAATACGAAGTAGGTGTGATATCACTCGATCGCATCGTTAAGTAGGATGAAGCTGGCTGAAGGTGCTGTCCACCGGTTGGCTTTGCTATTATCTGTGCATTATCTTCGGGCTATATATCTCCATATTTTTGTCAGAGAGTTAAATAGTTATGTACAGTTTGGTGTGATTAAAAATTTCAATAAGTTTGGAAAGGTTTCATTTACTGATACGTGTTTAAATCACACGGTAATTATCTTAACTAGAGTTCGAATAAACCAGAAAACAAAACCAAAAATATATTTTATGAATACAGTTGTAACTGTTTCTGGATTTCGGTTATTAACATCTTCAATAAACAACTCTATATTTCGTTCAACTGGATCTTACAGCGACAATCTTCACTCTCATGAAAACTAGCTCCTCTGTGTTACATTCGTGTTTTAACTTCCCTACGGTCGAAATCTGTACATTAGGGACAAATAAGCTGACTACATGGAGCTAAGTTCTCGAGAAGGTGTTAGCACGCTTAGTTACTAGAATCCAGTTTGCACCTTCCAACCCTCTCAATAAGATCCATTTTCATATAATCTTTCAGTTCAAGCTTAGGTCTTCCAAGTTATCTCTTACCTTCGGGCCTTCCAACGAAAATTTCGTTCGCATTTCTCCTCTGCTCTATCAGAGTAAAGTAGGGATATAAAATATAATTTTTTCGACAGTTCACTTAATCTCGATTATTTGTAATTCCTATAGCTTCTGCAATTAGTTTTCCAAAGCGCGAGACAATTCACTATGTAATTCGCTACGATTTGTGGTGAGTGAAACAAAACTAGGATCATGCCCGGAACGATTCGGCAAGAAGATAACATAAACCAATAAAATCTTCTCGGGCAATCAGAACCCTGATGATGGGGAAAGATTTGGTTCCCGAAACGTCGGTTTACTACGGTAACCAGTTAACGCGGCTGATCGGGTGAGAAGATTTATTGATTGTACTCGCCGCGAAAGTCTCATACCCTAGATAACAACATATTTTACATTGTTTAACTTAGTTATAACAGACACAGGATAATCGATAGTGCAATGAATTTTAAAACGTACTGTACCTGATCGTAAGCCAAGCATTTTGGATTATGTTAGAAGGGATAACCCTACGCTTCACCATGTATGTTATATGTCGAAACAATTATCCACTTTGAGAATATTCTACTATAGCCAGTTAACCAAACAGTGTGAACCT